AAAGATACATGTAGCCGGATCCTCATTGCTATAAATAAGTTCCAGAATGTTGTAGCCGGATCCTCATTGCTGTAAATAAGTTCCAGACGTATGAAGCCGGATCCTCATTGCCGAAAATAAGTTCCAGAGGGTTGCTGTTTAGCATGTCTTCAATTTCCTTTCCAGCTATGTATGTAGCCTTGCAGCCCCATATGGCAGAATGATTGTTGAAGTTTCCTAAAACTACAGTTTTGTGTGAGATGTTCAGAAAGTCAAAGTTTGGACAATTCTGGGGTGAATTATAGACTGCATATACCTCAAGTCGTTTTGACATTTCCAAACATTTTATCTGATTATTTTACATATGTATTGTGTCGAGCCCATACTCTTGATTAGGTCGTAGAGTGAGGTGAGAGCTTCTTTTACTCCAGTAAGAATCCCACTTGCAACTTGCCTGTATTTAGATAGAAGGTACAAGGCGTAACCTGGGAATTGGTAGTACTTCAGTTTGTCATCCGAAAGGTTTGCTTTCATAATTGTAAAAATGTCTACATCATAGGTTTCTAGGATTTTCTGGACTTGGATCTTTTGGTCCTGTGACATCCATCCAGCATTCCACTGGAGGATCTGTAGACGTTGTGATTCGCCCTGACGAGGGCAATTTCTCTTATAGCCTTGTTTTTAGCTAATCATAATAAATCAAAGTCAAATCAAATGCCGAGTGATAAACTTTTTTGCCGTACGAAGATACGTTGTCCAGGGTGTATCACGTGGAGGTAAGTCTATCGCGCACCCCATGGGCTGTTTAAAAGCTCTTAATATCACAAACATAGGTACACATATTCAACGAGATTAGCTTAATGAATATCAGAATATCATTATTTAATTGCACTTCACATTTGAAATTGAACAACGCATGTTTCTTACCTCAATTCGATCTTTGGTATCATCCATATTTTACCATATTGTGCAATCTTTATAATAACAAGAACCATATTTGCAATAATAAGTCAAAATATGCTTAAGTAATAACATTATATATGAATAATGAATGAAACAAATGAATGAAGTTTATTCACTGACTGGTTGAATTTTAAAGTTAAGTTAAATTGTCAGCGGTATATTGATGATCTCCACTGAACTTTCTCATGTCTACGTGGCCGGATAGCACAATGTGCCTTTGCATTTAGTTCCCGTTGGGCATTTACTTCAACTATCACCACTTTCATACGATTCACATGCCTTGAGATCAGCGCTAAAATGAAAAAAATTATTATTTTAACATTTTATAAAGGAACCGTCGGCTAGCATTAAATTATTTTGAGAATAACTTACGGTGCTTCATATTGACAAACATACAAATACACAAGACTTGATAATTTAGGAAAATCTCCAGTACAATCATTAATCACACACCCAACACCGCCGGAATTGGCCCAGAGCAACTAATTCAAAATGTTTAATTCTCTTTTGAACATGAAATGTAATTAAGTGTCAAACTAACTCACGTTCATGAAATAATGGCAAGATGGACCTTCTAGACAGGCGTTAAGTTCGGTGTCATAATTCAAAACGTTCAAAAACCACTTACTGATAACATTTGAAAAACTAATACTTTGGAGACCGTAAGTGATATAAGTATTTCGACCGTCAATTGTAGTGTCTTGGCATGTTTTAGCAAACACCTCAGCTAAGACTTCCAAATCAGTGCTGTATTTCTGTGGATGAAAGGTAAATTGATTAGCAAGTAAATGCACTTGAAATTTAAAAGTATCTGGAAATTACCATTGCAAGCATATTTGACGCTGAAGTAGAGACTCTACTACGAACAGTATTATGAAATATCTCTACTTTCATACGATTCGTTGGAGACCGTTTTTCAGTAAAGACAGCGTAGGTGAAAGTCATCAATATTATTACCTGTATCATTGCTTAACTTTGAAGGTTCCGAATCTATGCAACAATACCTTATATGGCGTATTTTAATTCAATTAAAAATCATTTTCAAATAATTGGTTTCGAAAACAGCACATTGAATCTGCACAACAGTTTGCGACTGAGAATAAGTCAACAATAACGCATCAAGTCGGGGTTTTCACTGCTGTAATGTGCAAGCAAGTTGGAAATCGAATACTGAAAGATAGGAAAAGCACGTTACAAAATATTAAATTAGTTCGAGGTTGATGATGGCGGAGCTAATTATGACAATTTTATATCAAATAAGTGATTTTTTAACCTTAGAAGGTTCACGGCAGTAAGATCAGGCGAGACAAATTTAAAGTGTTAGATAAGATGTTATCCGTAAGAATACCTTAAAATTGCAAAGGAGACTTTATAGGCCATGTTGTCAAACGGTGAATATGATCAACATCGTCAAAAGAATTTGTCGTATTTAGAAGTGCACGTTATTACTACACTTAAGTATATCTGGCCATTTCTAGACGTGTCCTATTTCCAAGAGATAACTGCAAATGAAGAGTAAGTGTTTTTTGTGCCTTTATTCCATACTGACTAATAAAACAGTAATCAACTCTGTCATAGGTGAGTTTTACCAAATTGAATAATTTTGTCATTGGAAAAATTCGGTCATGTTAGGAAGGAGGTCGGCACCAGCACCCATTCCGTCATCGACTCTTCTCTGAAGTAGAGATGAAACATACGATATGCCCCATATTCGCGTATTTTAGCAGTAAACTATTTGGTTACTACTGAAAAAGGTAATTCTACTGCATTGGAGAACAGAATATCGATATCGTTAGGTAACGTGCCTCAAAATCGTGGTTTAGAAGAAATACTGTTTTTAGCCTTGGCACATTTATTCTTAACACCTCTAAAGAAATGTTTAGAATACCTGGAACAGTTTATCATCATCAGCATCACCACAACCACCAACTTTAATATGACACTTATTAGAAAACAGCAAATCATCTTTTGTAATATTATTCTGCGATCTGAATAGGCTAAATTGCTGGAAATAGTGGAATATGATTGCTTTGCACTAATAACATGATTCAGTTGGGAATAAACCACTCAACTATTTCAATCTTCATCTTTACGTGCAAGGAAAGATTTGACTTCTTCTGAACTAGAGCTATTTTTAATCGAAAATCGCTACAAGGCGTAATATTGATTGATTAATTTTTCATTTTAAAATTTTGACATTTATTGGTCTCTAATTACTACAAACACTAATAATCATAAATCAATATCCTTATAGCAGTTTTAAAGACAATATTGAGACCACCTTCCTTAACGGCTTGTCACAACATCATAAATTCGGTTCCAGTATAACCATTTCAAATTTGCAGAAATAACCACCACAACGTACAAAAGAGAAATATTAATACTATAAATTTGACATTTACAACCGCTTGCCAAGCAAAGAATGTTCAAAATGTAATTTACGTGAAAATATTTGATAATAATACTGATTTAAAATGAGAAATTGAGCGTTCTAACTACTTTTTAACAACAGACTAAAATCGGTCAATAACTGCTCTTTTCAATGCCTTTTGAAATTGAGCGAATCCATTTGTGAACACTTCTGCAATTTTAACATCTACTTTGAAATTCAAAGCTGCATACAATTTGTGCAATTTCAAACAATGTAATTAGATTAAGCTGATATTAAACAGTTTCTTATGGATATTGACAAATCCTAATGGCTTTTATATGTTATATATTGGGGTTTCTCATTTGGATTTTATTACTTTGTACTTATTCTTTCATTTGATGGAAATTTTCAGTTTAATAACCAATACAATAAACCTTGCAAGATTGACGCAAATGAATTTAAACCAAGTAAAATAGGTTTGAAGTAGCCGAAAGAATTCTGAGAGACAACCACTGAGTCTCTTTGCCTTCGTATGATTGGTAATGATGCAATTCGTATTCGACATGTCTTTCATTACTGACGAGGTTGTGCTGAATAACGATGGTGATGGGCTAACTAGAAAAGAGTGGTTCGTCGCAACTTCAGCAATACAACCTGAAGCCGTGAAGATCTACGTTAAAAACTTGTTGAATAACTATAGAGGGCACTTGTTTTGAAACAGTCTTCCAATCTATCGTAAACGAATGAATATCATTACATTCATATCTTTTCAAATTAAAAAGTGGTAGTTTAAAAGTATTTGTGAATCGCTTTCAATTCCTTACTTCCCACATAAGACATTAATCACTAAGAAGAAAAGTTTTGTTGCCTGTCATTTATAGCTAAAATGGTTGCAATTTTTTTAATGGTTGCTTTCTATTATGACATGCATCTAGACAGCATATACCTTTTATTCAAAGTCAATGAATAAAATCTACGGTTTTAGGCAAAATCAATACGAACATCATAATATCGGTTTATTTATCCATTTGAGAATTTATATTATTAGATCAAGAACGACGTACCACAAATTAAAATTTTTTAATTGTCTCTATGAGATTTATGGCTGCGAAAATTTTTATTTGCTACTTATTATGGTTTTCATTTAAAATTTAGTACCAATTACTTCATTTTAATGAATCTTTTACTTGTATTACCGATACACGAAAACCTTTCTTAAAGGGATACGAATGGGTGCGGGGTGGAGTGGGGTGGGGGTTGGCATGAAAAGAGGTTGAGAACCAGTCAAGAGATATCTTAGGCCGAGGCTCTTTGCGATTAGTGATCGTCAAAGATGGCGTTTCACAGACCTATTTTGGTTATTATCAACAAATCTCTCATTAAGATTGAAATTAATAAATAAATATAAATTTAATTTTAAGTTTGTTTTATCCAATTTTTTAAGTCCCTACAAGCAAATGGAAAACCCTTTTGTCAGAATTTTTCAAGAGATTTAAAGATACAAGTAAGAGAGTTGGGTGAAATTAAGGAAGACACGGTAAGATACAAGTAAGAGAGTTGGGTGAAATTAAGGAAGACATAACAACACAAATTATCAGTTGGGTGAAATTAAGGAAGACATAACAACACAAATTATGTACTTACTGAACCATTCAGACCTTGCAAACTTAATGCTGCGATAAAACAGCTAAATTACAAAAGGTCTCCTGGCAAAGACGGAATTCATTCGAGAATGGGACCAAAAACCAAGGAAACCATGCTGACGCTTTCCAGCAAAATCTGGGAAACCAGTCTCGTACCTAACCAATGGAAAGGTGCCATAGAAATACCAGTACTAAAGAAGGGCAAATAAACTAGCAACTTTGACAACTATAGGCCTATCACCATCACAAGCGTTCTGACCACTTTGACAACTATAGGCCTATCACCATCACAAGCGTTCTGACCAAACTTATGGAAAGAATGGTTAACAAGAGGCTGACCTGGTTCCTTGAGACCAAAAATATTCTAAGGAGTGAACAAGCAGATTTTAGACAGCGAACCAACAAGTAGCCACTTTCTCCCAACACATCAAAGAATGATGCAAGAAATACTCTTACGGCTGTTTTCGTCGATTTCCAGGTCTTCCAACACATCAAAGATGCCATTGATGCAAGAAATATGCTGTTTTCGTCGATTTCAAATCAGCATATGACTTAGTATCCATTAAAGATGCCATTGATGCAAGAAATACCCTTACGGCTATAATGCCCATGATGCAAGAAATACTCTTACGGCTGTATTCACCTCCCTTGATGCAAGAAATACCCTTACGGCTGTTTTCGTCGATTTCAAATCAGCATATGACTTAGTATGGAAAGAGAATCTAATTCAAAAATTGGCAAAGATTGTTATTAAGCATAAAATGCTAAACTGGATAAAAACAATTCATTGGACAAAGATCATGTAAAGTCAGATATGGAAATGCTCTATCAAAATCCAATCTTTTACAAACAGGCCTTGCACAGAGAGCTATCAAAGCTGCACTCTTTTCAATGTCTTCATCAATGACATAGCCGAATTAGTACAGACAGTCACAGGCATCAGTTGCTTACTTTATGCAGTTGATCTTGTGCTGTGGTATTCCGCCCCTAAGACAAACTCTCAGGAGAGGACAGAAAGTGCTCTTAATAGTGCACTTAAACTACTAGCAAACTGGTGTGACAACAATGGAATGGTAATCAACACCCCAAAAACTGCCTTTTAAACGCTTAATTTGTTCTGTCATAGCATAACCCCCCTTCTAAGGTACAAGGATACTATTCTAGAAAAACAATAATTTCACTTATCTCGGAATAACGTTGAACACGAAGCTAACGTGGAAAATTCACATTGCTAAATAAGGCAGAACGGGTCTTCACTTGACTGAATGAACGGAATCGTCTTGGTGACAGCATATCGGGGTGTAGAAGCTCAACTCTTGACACGACTTACAAGACGTTTATTCAGCCAATAGTGTTGTATTGCTGTGAGCCACTCATTACAGCCACAGAGGTGATTCTCAAGCCCCTCGAGAAGGCACACAACCAAGCATTACGACTAATTACTGGAGGGATAAAATCAACACTCATTGATGCAATGGTTCTAGTTACAGGAATCACCACAATATGTTCTCTTATCAAAAAGGAGGCATTGATTCTGTATGAGAAGCTGTTGCCCAACTACTTGACTACTTCAGGAAATCAAACACCCCTCCAGAACATATGCGCTCACAGGACCTTGAGACAATCAATGCAACTATCCTGCAGACCAATGGTTCCAAGTCTTCACTGATGTGTCATGCATAGAAAACCAAGTTAATCTTAGTGCAGGTGTCTATTCTCAACTCTTCTCTTTCTACGCAGCAGCCGGACAAAATTTATCCGCTTTCAAATAAGAAATAGAAGCCATTAGGATGGCAATATGCCAATTATGTTGCCTAGATACAAAATTCACCAAACCGGTGATACTTATGAACTTACAGTCAAGAATGGTCTCAATTGAAAGCAGAGAGTCACCCAAAGCAGCTGAGATAAACGAATGTAAAATTTTCTCCCAGCTGCTGAGAGAAAAAGAACAGTGGTCCTACAATGGATTCCTGGTCACTGTGGCATTAAAGGCAATGAGCTTGCTGACACACTTGCTAAGAAGGGGACAACGATTTTGCAATGTATGGACCGTTCGATGTCTTTCCACA